TGGCCTCAAACTCAGAGATCCATGTGCCTCTGCCTCTTAGGTACTGGATTCCAGGTGTGTGCCAACACGCTGATCTCAGATACTGGTTTTTATATCTTCCCCATTTTTTCCAAAGGTTTCTGCTTCTTTCAGGTTTAATCTCCTTGGTGCTATTCTTAACACGGTGGCACACTGTTCTTTCATTGGCATGTGAGTTTTACCTTAGGTTTATGTCCTTCAAATGTCAGAACTTACCAGATGTTTTTGCCTTCTTTGGAAGATTTATACTTTCGAAAACTATTCAACCGGCAGTTATTTTGGGGATTGTTTACTGATTTTTCACAAGTAGATTTTGTCCTAACTTGTTATAGTGTCCAGAACATTGACTACTTTAAGAATGTTAATTAAACATTGGTGGTGCTTTCTTTTGGAAATTATTTATGGCTTGAGGGTTTTGTTTTCTTTCCCTTTGTGCTTTTCTGTGTTTTAAAAAAGTAGTCACTGGCCAGGCAGTGGTGGCGCACGCCTTTAATCCCAGCACTCGGGAGGCAGGGGCAGGTGGATCTCTGTGAGTTCGAAGCCAGCCTGGTCTACAAGAGCTAGTTCCAGGACAGGAACCAAAGCTACAGAGAAAACCTGTCTTGAAAAACTGAAGAAAAAAAAAAGTAGTCACTGCTACCATTACCAATACCAACTTGTAGGTAACTTGTAGGGAAAATGGTAGCTTGTGTTGTTTTTTTTTACATTTGTTCATACTTGGCCCATGTGACTTTCATAACTGTTCACTCTTTGACTTCTAGTCTTCCCGTAGGCATCAAAGTTATCAAAACACTTGCCAGAAATTTCTATAGGAAAAAAAAGAACCTTAGTAATGAGAGTAGGAAACTGAAACTATTATGGCCTTATCCTCTTTTTCCTTGCCATGCTCATCTTATTGACTTTAGCAAAAATAAGTATTTTTAAGAACAGTAGTCTAATCTGGGTATAATGGCGCGTCCACTTGGGGAGGCAGAGGCCGGCGGAGGAGGCTGAGTTCAAGGCCAGCCTGGTCTAGCTAATTCCAGGACAGCCAGGGTTATTACATAGAGAAACCCTGTCTCAAAAACAGAATGGAGATGTGGGTGTGGCTATGTTTAAGCTATAGGTAAGTAAGTGGGCAAAAGTTGACAGGAGCAGGTCTCTTCGTGCTTTTTTCAAAATCTGGAATAAGATTTGGCTTTTGGATTTTGTTCCTTTGGACTGATTTATGAAGATTCTGGTACACTGTCGGGAGGGATAAATTATAAATATCAATTTTTCATATTGTCTTTGTTGGTTTGGGCTACTATAATAGAATGCCCTAAGCTGCATATTCTATAGACAACAGAAGTCTTAAGAGAGTTCAGGAGGCAGAAGAATTAAGTTAGACTCAAGGCCTGGGCAGCTTGGTGTCTGGTAAGGGTTGACTTCATGACTCTCACTGTATTCTTATTGATATTGATGAAAAAGTCAAGGTATTCTTTAAGGGTTTCTTAGAAGGGTGTGCTAATCATTACTTCCTAATGCTATAACCTTGAGGGTTAGGATTTCAGCACGTGAACCTTAGGTGAAAGAGAGAAGCCCAAATTCCATTTGTTTTGTTGTTGTTTGGTTTTGTTTTTTGTTCTTATTTTTTAAATGAGATCTTACTATATTTCCTAAGCTAGCTAGAAATTCAAAACCCTTTGTTCTCAGAGTCAGGCATGGTAGCACACACAGTTGTTTCCATGGTGCTTGGATCATGGAGTCAGAAAGATCGAGTTTGAAGCCAGCCTATGCTACATATAACCCTGTGTAAAAAAAATTCCAAAACATTCTTTGGCCTCAGTCTCCTGAGTATCTGGATTGAAAGCTTGTACCACCATGACTGGTCTAGTAAAGGTTTTGCTAATAAATTTCACCATGTAATAATAATACTTGAGCACATTATCACCTAATACAAGTTCATCTAGAGAAAAATGGTATTCCTAATTTTAGGAAGCAATTATTTTTTTTCAGAAGTTTAAAAGTTAGTGTGCCTTACTGATCATTCACAAATGTTTGTTCACTGTGGGTAGCTTGAAATGAGATTTTTACACATCTTCATTTGTGTGTCATTTGTGGATTTGGGGGCAGGGGTTGTGCATGTTTCATCTTTGAAAATGCCATTTCACTTGCATTTACCAGTCTTTTTACCAGTCCACAGGCTTGGTTTTAATTTGCATATTCTGCTCTTAGAAATTCAGTTCCCAAGTGTACCTTTTAGTATATTATTACATAGGATGGCTATTCCCCTTGAAGGGTAGATAAAAGGTCCTCAGCTATACACTGTATGAATTTTTATTTTTTATGTGTATAGGTGGTTTTGCCTGCATGCATGTATTATGTGTACCAAGTGATTAATACCTGCAGGGCCAAGAAAAGAGTGTCAGATACCCATAGAGATGGAGCTCCAGATGGTTGTGAACTGTCATGTTGGTGCTCAGAATCAAATCTGAGTCCTCTGCTAAAGCAGCAAATGCTCTTAACAACTGAGCTGTTGCTCCAGCCCAAGTGCGAAGTTTAAGCTGAGGAAGTTCATTTTGCACTTTTGAAACTGTAGTTGGAGCTCAGAGATTATAATGGAACTCTCATATCTTTGATAGCCTGTGATGCCAGTGTCCCCTACTATTGCAGTGATTTTAAGTTCAGCATTGATTGTCTTGTTATTCATTAAGGCACATTCTCTACTAGTTACCAGGCAAACTTAATTCCTCAAGCCATTTATTGTTTGAAGGTAGTATAGTATTTGAGGTTCTCGTTAAGAAAAAAATTGATCTTTTACTCAAGTCCTACAAATCACAATAAAATCTAACCATTGTTAAGCCATTAAAATACTGCATGGAAAGACTATTAGGCCTGTGGCTCATATGAAACAGGCTTGCCATGAGTTTAAGGCTTAGGCTGCAAGACCTTATCTTTAAAACAAAGTGGGAAATTTATGATAGCACTCAGGCAGACGCAGACAGATCTCTTGAGTTTGAGGCCACATTGGTCTACAAAGTGAGTTCTAGGCCTGCCAAGGCTACATAGTGAGACCCTGTCTCAACAACAACAAAAAACAATTTTTGCCAAAAAAAAATTTCATACAACTAAAAATGATTAAATCCACAAGAATGAGGTTTACATTGACACTATTGGTTCAGTAGTATGAGGGGTTCTAACATTTTCTTCAAAGTACTTTTTGAAGAAAATAAAATGGGTACCCAAAAACTTTATAAACATCTTGCATTTTCATCTAACTTTGAAAATACTTCTACCAGGTTTTTTCCTACGCCACATATATTTTTATTATTTCATTTATAAATCATCTTGGCAGGGCTGCTTTAAGTTATTTAAAGTTATTTAAGTATTTAAATTACTGGGCTAGGTTCTCATTTGTTGTTTCATGTAGACTGTTCATGGGACTAGTTGTCCAGCTACTTTATACTTGAATAATCAACACTTGCCTAGGGAAAGGAACACTTGAATGCTGTCAGTTGTATTTGTTAACCCATCACTAGCCACTCCATTCCTTGTATGGTCAGTGACAGCATGTCCAGTACCTTCAATGTTATATAGGACTATAATTAACCAAAAGGCTAATACTAACGAGTTTATTTCCTTTGTATACATTTGTGCCCTTAAACAAGATTACCATTGATAAAAGCTTATTTTGCTCAGGAGAAAATAAGCCATTTGGAAACTTGGTTTAAATCCTCATTTTCAAATTTTTTTTATTGAAACTTTTTCATACAATATATTACCCATGGTTTCCCCTCCCCCAACTCCTAGATCTCCACTCACCCAACTCTACCCGCCTTAGAAAACAAACAGCAAGCAAAATCCTCCCCCAAAGTCCCTTACTTGACACCTAGCCTCTGGTTATATGGATTGTAACATGTCTGTGGATGGCCTAAAAGATAATAATGTGTGACTATGAGAGAAAACACTTTTTCTTGGAGTCTGGGTTACCTCAGGATGAATTTTTCTAGATCCATCCATTGACCTGTAAATTCCATAATTTCATTTTTAATAGCTGATTAATATTCCAGTGTGTAAATTTTTATGAAGAAATGTTTTAGATGAAATCCTTCAACCTGAGTTTTCTAATTTGTAGAGCATAGGTTTCTTGTACTGGGAGTATTTTGACACGTATTTTAGTCTAATTTTGTACTACTAAACCCAGTACCTTGCCTGCATTCATGCTATCTGCCTAAGTGTGGCCTTGGTCATTTAATCTGGTGAATATTAGGTATCTTTTGCTGTGCCTTTATGTGCAGTGTTCAAAGTACACTTTTCAGTTGCCACAGTGAGTGTGCTTGTGCATTTTTTAAAAGTCGCAGGATGATCCACATGCCATACTTGAACTACTCTCCAGTTACAGTTGCGTTGAGGTAACTGAAAGTGCTCAGAGCAGCAGTGCACAGCAGTGGGGAAAACACTTAGAGTGTGTCACAGTTGTCCAGTTCTGCCATGACAACACAAGCGTGGATGAGTGGCTGTGCTCCAGGAAGACTGTGAATCCCCAAGTGTGTATTCCATAGTTTTCACACATCACAAACATTCTTGTGCAAGTGGCCATGCATTGTGACACACCTCTGTAAGCAAGTCCAGCACTCAAGAGGCCCAAGCAGGAGAGCCATGTTTGAGTTAACTGGACCACACACTGCTTTCCCTGACTCAAATAACTAAAACCCAGGAATTGGAATTATATGCTCATGATGGAGTGCATGCAGGCAAGGTCCTGAGTTTAGTTCCTAGCACTTCAATGTAAAAACCAGTTTTAGATTACAGAGAAGATAAAAGTAGGCCACATTGCTGAATTTGGCACAAGCATGTAGTTTGCTGACTTCCCGACCTAGTCTTCCTAGTGCTTTTCCAAGATTTCCTATTACGTTTCATTTGTTTTTCTTAAAACTCATTTCTATGTATGCATTTTAGATTTCCATGTAAGTAAGACTGTCGAATGCATCATGGCATTCACATTAGAGTTTCTCTTTCAGATAATTCTCCACTTGTTCATCAAGATGGAAAACTCAGATTCTAACGATAAAGGAAATGACCAATCTGCAGCACAGCGCAGAAGTCAGATGGATCGATTGCATCGGGAAGAAGCTTTCTATCAATTTGTAAATAACCTGAGCGAAGAAGACTATAGACTTATGAGAGACAACAATTTGCTGGGCACCCCAGGTAAGCTACATCTAAGGAAAGTTATATATGTAGGTTGCTCGGTTTTTAAGAAATAGCTTCTTTTATAATATGTTTCTTTAATAAAAAATACAAGAGATGCTGAATGGCATTTACTGCCTGTCCTATTTATTGTCCGATTCCATTCTTTAATAATTGGAACAATCATAATATAAATTTTTAGTAAAATGGATTAAATAAAATTGAGCTGAACAATTTAGTTAGTAAGCCATGAATCCAGTTTCACACTAACTAATAGGATTTAAGTTCCTAGGACAGACTCATTTTGTCATCCTTTATTCTCTGACTGTGTCCCAACTGTAACCCTAGAGTTAGTCGTGGGGAAAATGACAACTACAACTTTGTCCTTAGTCACTCTCTTTCACGCAGATAAGGTCTCATTTGATCCTAGTCAGAACTCAGTCTACGTCTTCCTTCCCATTTCTATTTCCACCAACCTGTGGATGGGTTCATTAGCAAGACTAGGTGGAGCATTTTGAGCAAACAATACCAGACTTTAGAATTAATGTTAACTGCAGTTCTGAACGGTTTTGCTGTTACCTGGTGTGGTTACTGGCAAGTCAGTCACTCAATTGAAAGTGCAGATAACAAAGCCAGAGGTGACCTGGTGGCTGTGCATGTGATCCCAGCTGCACAGGAGGCTGAGGCATGAGCTTGTTGAGTTTGAAGACAGCCTGGGTAAACCCTTCAAAATGAGTCCTGAGGGTGGAAAAAAGACAGAAACTGAGTTTTAGATCGATCTCCATTTGTAATTTGACCAACATTGTTAACTTTCAGGCGAAAGCACTGAGGAGGAGTTGCTCAGAAGACTACAGCAAATAAAAGAGGGTCCACCCCCGCAACAAAGCTCAGATGAAAATAGAGGTATATTGTGCTTTGGGAGATGGGCAGTTGATGGAATGATAGGAAATTCATAATAGTAAATGTTAGTCAAAGATTATCCAGAAATGCCACAAGTTAACTTGGTGATAAGTAACTGTTCATAAAAAGAGAGGTGGCATTTTCTTAATGTATGAATGAGAAAGTCAGCATGCTGTTTTCTGCCCCAACTTTTGGGTTGTTTGTGTTAATTGGGCCACAGTGAGAAGTAGTCTATTTAAATGAGATTCCTTACCATGGCTTTCATTATCCATTGATATTCCCTACTACGTAGTTACTTGTTTATAAGTATGACTTCATCAGCAAAAAAGGAAACACTGCTTTGCATGCCCCAGTGCCTTCAAACTGGGGGTAATTTTGTTCCACATGGGGGGATTAGCTACGACTGCAGACACTGGTTGACACAACTGATGAGGGTTTGTTCTTAGTATCTAGCAGGCAGAAGGCAACTATACTGCCAGCCATTCTGATGATCTTCCAAACACAGCACAGTTCCCAGCATTAAATGGCTCAGGGTCAGTGCTGCTGCTAAGTAAGCAAGCTGGCTCTAAGCTCAGGACTGGTGCCTCCCTCTCTGCAGGAAACAGTGATTGACCATAACCTAGGAGCTGGTGCTGGTACATTAGTTCGTAAACACACTGCTTGGTATGCTGTTACTCCAGGTTCAGGCTATTCATTTCGTAAGATCTTCATTTTCGTGGTAGTTTAAAATCTTGATATTGACAAATATTCAAATAGTTATAAACCATTAGTCTTGTTTATATGTTTACTATGACTACAAAATTCTTGTATTTTAAAGCAACTTCATATTATCAAAGGCACTTAAGTTAGGCCCCTAGATAAAGTAATAGAGATTGAATTTGGTAGAAATATAATTGGAACGAAAATACAAACACTAGCCCCCACAACTAGCAATTGTGTTGTTTGATTTTGTTTAGACAGTAGACTAGAAAAAACATGTAGCCTTCTCACAGTCTCGTAGCTTCTTCTAGACCAGCACTTCTCAACCTTCCTAATACTGTGACTCATGGTGTGGTGACTTTTTTTGGCTTTTCACTTAGTGTTGTATACAATATAAGATCTATAAATGTAAAATTCATTCAGAATTGTAAACTTCTTTAATGTTATTTGTATGATCGTCCTAATTATTGTAGTTCCTTTCTCTCCTCCCCTTTCTTTGTTTTAAACAGGTGGAGACTCTTCAGATGACATGTCCAATGGTGACTCTATAATAGATTGGCTTAACTCTGTCAGACAGACTGGCAATACAACAAGAAGTGGTCAGAGAGGAAATCAGTCCTGGAGGGCAGTGAGCCGGACTAATCCAAACAGTGGTGATTTCAGATTCAGTTTAGAGATAAATGTTAACCGTAATGGAAGCCAAACCTCAGAGAATGAAAATGAACCATCTGCTAGACGTCTTAGTGTAGAAAACATGGACAGCAGCAGCCAAAGACAAATGGAAAATTCAGCACCTGAGACATCATCTGCCAGATCATCTAGGTCAGAACGCAGTTCTGCTGAAGCATTAACAGAAGTGCCATCCACCAGAGGTCAGAGAAGGGCAAGAAGCCGAAGCCCAGAACACCGGAGAACCAGAGCCAGAGCTGAAAGAAGTAGGTCTCCTCTGCACCCAGCAAATGAAATTCCACGAAGATCTCATCATAGCATCTCATCTCAGACTTTTGAGCACCCTTTAGTAAACGAGCTTGAAGGAAGTTCTAGAACCCGTCACCATGTGACTTTGAGACAGCAGATAAGTGGGCCCGAGTTGCTAGGTAGAGGTCTTTTTGCAGCTTCTGGGTCGAGAAATTCTGCCGCTCAAGGGGCAAGTTCTTCAGACACGGGTACCAATGGTGAAGGTGCAGGATCTGGTCAAAGACCTCCAACCATCGTCCTTGATCTTCAAGTCAGAAGAGTTCGTCCAGGAGAATACCGGCAGAGAGATAGCATAGCTAGCAGAACTCGGTCAAGGTCTCAGACCCCAAACAACACGGTCACTTACGAAAGTGAACGTGGGGGTTTTAGGCGCACTTTCTCACGTTCTGAACGTGCAGGCGTGAGAACCTATGTGAGTACTATCAGGATTCCCATTCGTAGAATCTTAAATACTGGATTGAGTGAAACTACATCTGTTGCAATTCAAACCATGTTAAGGCAGATAATGACAGGTTTTGGTGAGCTGAGTTACTTTATGTACAGTGACAGTGACGCAGAGCCTGGTATCTCAGTCCCCACTCGAAATTCGGAGAGAATAGAGACACGGAGTGGAAGAGGGAGCTCTGGTGGTAACAGCTCTGGTTCCGGCTCCAGCTCCAGTTCCAATGGTGAAAGTTCAGAAAGTAGCTCAGAGATGTTTGAAGGCAGTAATGAAGGAACCCGAATTCTCACACCAGGTGCCCGGAGAGAGGGCCGACATAGGGCCCCAGTTATATTTGATGAGAGTGGCACTTTGCCATTCCTTAGTCTGGCTCAGTTTTTCCTCTTAAATGAGGATGATGACGACCAACCTAGAGGACTGACCAAAGAACAGATTGATAACCTGGCAATGAGAAGTTTTGGTGAAAATGATGCATTGAAGACATGTAGTGTTTGCATTACAGAATATACGGAAGGCAACAAACTTCGTAAGCTACCTTGCTCCCATGAGTACCACGTCCACTGCATCGACCGCTGGTTATCGGAGAATTCCACCTGTCCCATTTGTCGCAGGGCCGTCTTATCTTCTGGGAACAGAGAAAGTGTTGTGTAGTGAGAACAGAACTCTCGAAGCTGTGTAGCTGGAATAGTGATGGGCAAACGGAAAATCACCTGCTTTATGTCCACTTTTTAAGTGGTGCTTAAATATAAAGTCACAAGCTGAATCGAGTCATTGCTTTCTGAGGGAGTCATGTCTTTTCTCTAGTTTCTCTTTCAGGATAGAAAGAATATTTCAGAAGCGACATTTTAGGACTTCAGTGTTTGATTTCAGTACCAGATAATTGCTAACCTGTTACTGATAATTTACCCATATACACTTGTCATTTTCCCTTCGTTACCTACCATAAGGTCTGCCTTAGCAGTGGCTCCTTTATCATTTTGACCTCTTTTTAGGTTTTCCAGACCATAAGAGGGGCATGAAGAAAATTCCCACTCAAGACTAAGTTCCATTATATGTTTTGTAAGTGATTAATTAAAACTATACCATTCCCAGTTGTTGACACAAATTCAGTCACATTCTGAATATTGTTTGTTCACCTTCCACATTAGGTGATGATGGACATACCAGTGTAAATAACACTAAACAGTTAGGATCTTCTATGTGTATTAACTGTCCTAAGCCCATCACTGTGGCACACAATAGAATGAACTTAGAGTTTAATTGAGATATTTATCTTGTGGAAATATTAAAAAGCCTATGCTTGTGTAAGTGAAAAAAATCACATTCATTTGTTTAAAAATGTAAAGCTATTTTGTAGAGGCTCAGTACTTTTCCAATGCACTGTTGTATTAATGCATTCAAAATTGTAAAGTACCATGCTTAGAAATGAGAACTGCTTTTTGTGAGCCAGCATAGTAAAACAAACACACCAAACAAAGTACGAAGCTGCTTTTGTAAGTGTGTAGATGTCAAGAGCAGAACATATCTATATTTAATGTATTTGAGAACAGCTACTGTGATATGGAAAGGAAACGACCATGTAGAATCACACTGCACTAAAACCCAATGGAAATCATGGATTTTAACTTGGATTTAGGCAGGAAGTGATAGAGGGTAAGAACACTGCTCTGGAGAATGGACCGTTTTCATGATGACAGTGATATGGACTTGAACTGGTTTCATACAGTGACAGCCACAGCAGCTTGACCCAGTATTCGACTTGAATAGATGAAGCAGAAGATCAACAAATTTGGCAGAGCTGTCTTTGAAAAAAAAACAAACCACTACCACCTAGCATAAGTTAAATTGATGTTTTTACAATCTGCTCCTAAGAAACAAAAGGTGGAGGAAAGAGACTTCTAAACCAATTCTAAGGTAGGGATTTCAGTTGGTACAGATGGGTGTGCTTTTGGAAAAGTCTCGGATTTGCTTGTTTTCGAGATTTTATGTAAGGTAATAGTGCACACTTGTCGATATTTCATTACTGTATCTAGCAGATCTAACATGCCACATTTAAAAGACATTCATAAATTAAGAGATTATATTTTATTGAAAGTGAGGCATGTTGGGTTATTTGAAATTCAAATTCTAGTTGTGTTGCCCATATGTGAAGATAAGATGTCCAGCTCACATCTGTGGACATGCACTTTATTGTTCTTTTTTAGTGGTAAGACTAGATTGTGATAACCCCAGTACTCTTGCCTGGTTTTTCTTTTGAGACTGATTGGGGTTAAGATTAGCTTAGCTGGTTCCCTGGAGAAAGCTGCCAGGCCGGAAGAGAAGCTGGATTGAACAGGCACATCCCTGGCCTTTCACCAAATGAGCTAACTACCCAGATTAGTCCGGGATTCTAGAAACTATTTTACCCAAATCTGCTTACCCTCACTGATACCACCTTAGCAGTACAGATTATTTCAAAGTTCATTCTTTCATGTTTTCCTCTGGCTCTCAGTCCTACCTAAGTGTCAAGGAAATGAAATTGTAAATATGGTAGTTGTTTACAAAGGATATGTACTGCTCTTGCAAGGAAATAATGTCCAAACAAAGCTTCACTTATTTTTTTTAATATAAGCAGATTTCACTGTTTATGGCGCTTATGTAATACATTTTTATCTTTTTAAAAGAATTGTCCATGTAAAAGTCAGAATTCCTTTGTATTTGTGAGCCTCCTTGTCACCTTTCTATGGTTTTCAGATCTGCAGGATAGTCCTGATTAACTAAAAACAAATCCATTTTCCTCTTGATAAAAATGTTCCATCTTAGGGATGTTCATTTTCTATAGCTCAAAAACAGCTGCAGCACATTCTAAACATGAAGTTACTGACAACAGGCACCTCCCTGAACTCCCCAATCATATTACTCGTTTGCGAAGTACTGAAGTCAGAGGTAACTTAAGCAGGATGCTAGTTATGAATGCAGATGTTGAAGCTCTTTAGAGACACTGGATATCAATCTTCCCATTTCTAGCCTTCAGTAGAATGCACATGTTTGACGTGCATGTGGACCCTTTCGAATAGGATTCCTATCTCTTGGGTTCTGTAGAATGAATACAAGTATTTTTAGTGGGAGTTGCTTTTTTTATTTTACCAAGTCCATGACTATTATATATTACTAGTGTTGCAGACGTTGAAGATAAGGTTCGTATAGGTAGTCAGGTGTAAAGAGTGAAAGTTTTTACTCACCAGTGTCCAAACACCTATTACAAAAGACTTTACATTTCATTTTGTATTTTTGCACCTTTTCTTTATTACAGAAAGGTTCTGTCTTTAAGGCCTACTTTGAACTTCATGCAGTAATAATGTTGGGAGATTCCATTGTTCAAAGCATAGGGGAAAGTACTAAAGCCTGATTTTCCTTAAAGATTTCAAATGTTTTTTTAATCCGCTTACTAGTGTGAAGGTTTGCAGTGTTTTGTTTTTATTCCATGCAGCTTACAATGTTGAGATTTATTAGTGCTGAAAACCAAGTTGAACAAGTTAAAAAAAAAAAGGCAGGCTATTTGCAGTAACACTGAAGAGAGCTGTGTTGGGAAATTGGAACTTTTTCCCTGAAAAGAAGATGATAGTTGCTCCACTATGTTAATGGAGGTGGCATTGGGGAGAGGGAGGAGGCTCACACGCTAGTGTTAAAACAGGTGATTGTCCAATTGATAAGGAAATGTGCCAGGAGATACTCAGTCTTTAGGGACATGGTTATCAGAATCCATGCAAGATAGGATAAGGCTTAGCTCTGTTACCTTAAGCAATTTTTTTTCTCCTGGAAAAACTTTATTTCTGTGCCCAGTATTCTCTGCTTTTGTCAATGTCTTATATTTATGAAGGGTTAACATTTAGCATATTTTGTATTTAACCACCTGCTTCTCTGACTTTAAGTCGGTTCTCCAAATACTCGTGATAAAGAGTTCAATGTTGCAAATGACTATTAAAGGCCATTTCTAACTGTTTGCTAGAATGCAGTAGCACCTTGTAGTTGACCTTGTTTTTTAAACAGATGGAGGAGACTTTTTTAATTCTTTTGTGAAAGGAAATCATTTGTAATCTGCCTTAGTTGACTTTTTTAAAAATGTTTTTCCTGACTGGCTTCCCTGTCACACTCTTACCAACAGTGTGCAGAACCTGGGAGCCACGCTTGCAGAGCACTTAGGGTCTTAAGACAGTTCTGATTGTTCTCCAAAGTATTCTCTCTGTACCTTTGTAACAGGCAGAGAGCGCACATGTGAGGGTGTCTGCTTTTCCCCTTCAGTACAGTTCAGTATGTTTATGCTCAGTAACAGTGTTGTAATTGAGTTACCTACTAAATGGTTCTTTTCAGAAAACTTTTCCAATGTACATTGCTGTATCATGCTTCACGTGGCAAGGTCTGAGGAAAGAGTATTTCTAAGTCACAGTGTAAGCAAATAAAAACAGCTGTGACCTCAATATCTGCCCTTCTTTTTTTTTGCATTTTGAATTACCATGTTTTGATGTAGGGTATTGTGCTGTGCACTCTTAGCTGGTCTGGAACTCTCTGGACCAGACTGGCCTCAAATTTGTGGCAGTCCTTGTGCCTCTGCCTCTTGGATGTTGGGAATACAGGTACTTGTCACCAAACCTAGCTCAGCACTTTGAAATAAGGATTCCTTTCCCTTTGCTGGAACGTTTTTAAATACTCTCCAACACTCCAGGAAGTGAGTGGCCTCTGTAAGTCACCATACCTTAGATCTGAAAGCTTACAGCATAGAAAGAATTGCTACTGGGAATTTTTTTTTCTAAGTATCAGTTTTATGATTGTTTTTATGTCCATGTAGATGTCTGGATTCAAATCTCAGAGCTATGGTGAGATACTTGGGACTTTTTTGTTTTGGTATTTTGAGAGGGTCTCGTTTTGTAGCCCAGGTTGGCCTGGAATTGGTGATCCTCCTGATTGCTGGGATTACAGGTGTGTCACCGCACCCAGAAGGGATTTGTGTGCTAAAGTCCCACAGCTGCTCTGTGTCATTTGGATGAGCGGCTGTCTAGAGACGCGCAGTGAAAGTGAGCCTGCCATGCCACTGTGCCTTGTTTCTCATCTTGATTGTTTCCAGTTCCAATTGTAGTCAGGCCAGCTGCCCAGCCTTAACTCTGCTCAGTGCCCTGTTACTAATGTTTTTAACAGATTGGTTTTTATATGTGGAAACTGTCCAGCGTTTGCATTTTACCTCTTGATGGCTCCATTTGTTCTTGGTGCTGCTTTTAAAGGTATAGGGCCCTGTGAGTGTCCCGGTGGGAGTAGGTATGCAGTTGGCCTGGTTTTGGACCTATGTCTGTCTTCTGCCAGGAAAAGCTGCTTTGGTACAGATGTTTACTTGAGTGCCTGTAAGGAACTGGGCAGCAATCCTGGAAAGCTGAAGCCCATAAGAACCTGAAAGGTTTTGAAAAGGGCAGACCTTAAATCTTTGAACATGAAGCACATGTGTGCATGCTGTGTAAAGACTAAAGTGATGGCCATAGCAGGGCTTCCTGACCCAGAATCCATTTTCAGAAAGCAACAGAGGAGCACAAAGGGAAGTGAATTTACTTGGCTTGCTTTGTCTGGTTTCTCATTTTCTTACCATTTAAATCTGAATGAAACACCCTTCTCCGGTATCTGATCCAACAAACTCCTGGTTGGGAAGCCCTGTATTAAATTTTGAGAATGTAACCTTTTTTGTACAGTGCTTTACACCTGCTAAAATTTAACTTGTTTAATGCAGAACAAGACCTTGAAAGGTCATTAAT